CCAAGCAACTGTACATTCTGAAGTTTTACGATCTTGACCTCACATGCAAGTGCCACAAGCTCATATAGATAGAATCAATTTAAGTTAAAAAATGGCCCTGGCTAATCCTTCCTGCTATAACCTCAAAATCTGGATAGCAATGAGGTTAAACCCCTCTTACTCCAGATGTGAGACAGGGGTGTCTGTATTTGGCAGTAATTAATGTGTCTTTATGTGCATGCATGTGTGTGTGAAAGTGGGGCACACTCCTGTGTCAGCTGTGTCACACCCCCTGGCACTTGACGCCACTGGCCTGTCAATGAGATAGATAGACCTGTGATGCCGACGATAATGTTAGGGCAGATCCGTTTACACTCTGTGATGTCTCACTTTCCCTTAACATGCATCTCTTTGGTGGCTTTGCCAGAAAACGAAACCCCGCCCCCCCTTGCTTTGAAACAGCACGGTCTCCCAGCGTCTCTTCTTGAGCTTTACTTTGATGGTCTCTCACCTCAGACATCTTTATTAGCAGCTTTATTTTAGGTCCCACGTCCAGACAGAGAAGTTTATGTCAGCATCCTGAATATATACAAGGATTAACACTTTGCTCTGGGCAAAACCGTCAGTGTCTTGCCAAAGACACTCTAACATTTTCACGTCATCAAACTAAAATCACATATTTTAATATGTTTTATTAGGATTTTATGTGATAGACCAACACAAAAATGGGCGTAATCCAGAGCAACCAGTTGTTTTAACAGTATAGACACAATCATTCTGGAAAAGTCTAGCTTAATGAAGATCAATAAACACAGAAGGCAGGGCAATGATAAAGATGTGTACAGGTTTAACACAGAATTAGTACATAAAACATTATACCAAGTTTTCAATACATCAGATGTCAGATGGCCATTCAATCTGTCATCTGGAAATGATAAAAGTATGTTACAGCTAAAAGTGGCCTAAAAGTAAGACTGGACAAAGGCTATGGTTACTCTGCCAGCTGTTTAATAAAGATCAAGATTGTTTAAAAAAGATCAACAGCACAGCTGGCAGAATCTGTTGATAAAAACTTCTAGTTGTGAACTTCCCAAAACTGTCATTTTCTTAAAGCATACATCTATTGCTGCAATGGAACAGTCTGGATAAAAGCATATTCATGTGTTTATGTGCAAACCTTTCAGAAGAACAATGCTCATAGAGACATACCCTATCAAACTAGCAACTGTAATCACAAGAAAAGGTGATTTTATCAAATATTGACTTACTGCATTTTTATTAGTGGTATCGAATGCAAAGTGCATGCTATTAGATTTTTTTTAAAATGATTAATAAAAAGCTTTGTTAACCTTGTATAAGTTTTCTTTCAGTTTAAAATCTTGTGCTACGTTGACCTTTGTTGTATTGTATAAAAACTATGGTACGTGCACAAGTTTGTGGTGGTAATGTGACAAAATGTTCAAGGGTTCCAGAGGTATGCAAACTTTTCCATGTACTCTGTCTGAGTTTTAATGGATTCCAGATATAGAAAGATTGAATTTCTGTTTTATTTTTGCCACCAAGTTTATCAGATTTCAAACTGACATTTTCAACACTAAACATGGCTTTGACCATTAATCAATAAAAATACCAGATTGCCAACACCTAGAAACCTCCCGTCCTTTAGCCACTTAACTATTTAAATCAGTGGTAGCTGGTGTTATGAACTTTAGGAAAACCAATAAAGATGTGTCATTACTTATGACTTCCCAAGTTCTTTCTAATGCAGGAAGGGTTTGCATTTCAGCGAGTGATAATTTATGTTCACAGCACCCAGTCATGGTCAAGTTTCAATCAATAATTTAACACCAGGATGTGAGATGATCCCCATCATCATCACCACAGCAGTTTGATTAGGTTAATTCCATTTAATTGTTTTCTTTAAAACTCAAATAGAAATCATATTCTTGTGGTTTAAAATTATTGAGGATGATTTGAAAAATGAAATTAGCTAAAATCCAGTTAGAAGGTCTAAAGCAGAGGTCCCGAAACTACGGCCCGCCTCCTCATTTCGTCCGGCCCCCTGAACAATACCAGAGAGCATTCAGTGTTTTTTTTTTTTCTTTATATGTGGATTTTTCTTCAACCACCAGGGGGGCTCTTTAGCAGATATGAAACTTAGTTTCCCTCAATGGAATATATACTAGTCAGTACTAGTCACCGTTTCGCTCACGTTTTTTTTCCATTTGCATTCTGGGTAAAGATCTATCTACAAACGCGAATATGTCGTCGGCAGTAATCCAATACCCCCCCCCACCCCCCGCCCCCTGTCAACAAAACTTTTCTAAGGTTTCTTTCTCGAAAAACTAAGACCGGCCCCCGACCAGAAAAAGGAACAGTCATGTGGCCCTCGCAGGAAAAAGTTTGGGGACCCCTGGTCTAAAGTCTAGAGAACCATGCTAGAAATCACTAGAAATCATGAATGCACTGTGGTGTTTGGCTAAAATTGTTTATTTTGAATCTCAAATTAATCTGGTATATTGTGCTTCTACTCTTCCAAAATGTGGATTAGCCATTTAAAGTTTTAATGACTTTTCTCCAGGATGATTTTAGCTGGCATTAATAATGGCTGAGAGGATTTTGCAGTCTACTGACTTAGTTTGGAGGAATTGTTAAAGGTTTTTACTCATTATCTGTTTTTATAAAATAAATTATTCTGGAGACTGAAGAGTTCATTCCACTTAACACTTTAACAAAACCCTATCTGTGTCAGGAAGGCGAGACATGAGTCCCTTATTTTTGTACAATTGGACACACACACACACACACACACCCAAGGGGATAGTCAGACAGACAAATGCTCTCAGACAGATAAATTTTCACACAGAGGGCCTTCTACATTCTCAGCAAACCCCAGAACACAGAATCACGCTCACACACCCTCTCAGTGGATATAACCTAACCCTTAGCCTGTTATATCACTCTCATGTAACGGCGCAAGCCTAATGAGCCTGCATACACTGTGCTCCCTGTACAAATTAATATCTCTGTGCTGCTTGGGTCTGTGGGAAGCATCGCAAAGCATGCAAGTCTATGTGAGTACACATACATTTGTCCAAAACATTTCCTCTGACAAGAAGATACGCCCACACAGACAAATGGGCTCATGGACAGATAAATAGAGCTGTATAGACATTCTCAAGAGATATACTATTCATAGGGTGAATCTGCTTGAGACTGATCTGAAGACATTAGCATATGTAGTATGGCTGTCACATAGAGGAGTCTCAAGATGATTGGGACATATTTCTATAAGTAACACGGCACTCTGAGAAATGCGGTTAAGGAGAATCCTAACAAGACAGGCGTGGCCGTCTAGTAAACGGGTGTGCTTCTCAGTGTGCCACACGCATATGTTTTCTGTCTCACGGCAGAGCAGAATAACAGATTTTTGTTTTAGAGTAAAAGCTTGTTTAATTTGTAGCTGTTCCTTGAGAGACTGAGGCAAAACAGGTGGATGCTGCAAAAATCAAAGGCGTTCTTAAACTGCAAAACATGCCCGCGTTTCTCACAGAACTGTGTCTTTAAAGGACATCTTCGCAACCAAGACAAACAAGTCTGCATGCACTCAGGCAGATATTGTTATGGGCATATCAAAATTAAATTAGTCAGTGCTATTGCATTTCTCCTTGGCGCAGCAGAGCCCATCTGCAAACATGAAAGAACTGGATGGTTGTCTTTGTTTAAAGCCAGCTCTCACCTCCCAAACCCCAACTTAATAAGCGCCCATGTATTTATACAGAGCACATTTTCATTAACTGTAGCAAATTGCATTTTAATCCATGAAGCCCATTTCGTTGTAGAAATCGTTTGACTGGTTTGAGATTGGCATGAGTTACTGGCAGACAGAAGGCGAGGAGACAAAAGTGAAGGATGATAAAAGCTGTTATTTGTTCTCGGTTGTGTCAAAGGAAATTAACGAGATATGGGAATCCTAAAGAAGGTTCAGAGCAGTAAAAATCTATGTAAACTGGAGGCCATCCAACCAGTTCCTTTCTTTTACTTTTAATCCTTGACAAGTCAAAAAATTGAATTACCCTCCTATCGAGTTGTCATATATTATGTATATGTAAACAGTGTTTATCTACTTGTTTTATAGCATATCTGACAAGTTGCTTAGCAATATGGGGCCCATTTTCAGACAAACCTCCTTTGGTTCAAATATTATCAAACAATATATTTTCATTGGTTCGGCTCCTATTAGACCAGACTGTTGTTGCTTTGTAAATCTCCAGAGTGGCTTCTCCTCCTGTCGTCTGCTTTGATCCCTAAGCTGTTTCAGGGCCTTAATTGCCCTTTAATTTGTGTGACTACTGGATCCTGATGTTTGAGGCTGATAAAGACTTAAAGCTCAGCTAAGTAAAAACAGTGACCCACTGTGTGACATGGGCAGTATGCTTCACTGACTCACACAGATCTTCAGCGACCCTGTCATGCACACTGAGCCTGAAGGGTGTGCGGTATATTGACGAAACACCAGCAATGGAGGTTTCTGCCTCCTAATTAGCAATGTCGGATGGGCAACTCAAAGTTTGAGCAATCCTCCATAGCAGAAGTCTTCTCTCTGGTGAGTTCTGCTTGAGGTGCTTATAATGAGGATTCTCCCATGAGTTTGCCAAAAAAAAAAAAAGAAAGAATAGAAAAGACAACATTTTGTTGTTAGACAAAGTTATTTGAAAACTTGGGTCCTCATCCAGCCTTGTTTGTCACTGTTCCAGTACAACTTTCATTTTTTTTTTTTTTTTTTTGTCATGGTTCTGATTGTACAGAAGTTTGGGTGAAAAGCTTTTCTGAATGGATTAGTAAATGTTCCTTGACCTAATTTGTAAAATGTACATTAGTTTACAGTTAAATTTAATGTATTATTATTGCAGGTTCCATTAACAGTAATTTCAGTAAAACGTGCTTCAATGAATACAGTCTTTAATAATAAATTAAAATATATCTAATGATGAGGCTCTGTACTGCACCCTATAGTTTGAGTTTGTTTTAGTTTGTCCTAAAAGGCTCCTGTAGTTCGGGCAAGTTCCTGAGTAAGGCTGTTTCGGCAGTGCTAAACTTTGTCAATATGCTTTGCTGGCTACCAGGAAACATCTGTCTGTGAGTATTCTGTCGATATAAAGTGTTGTTGTTGTGTTAGACACTTATTTGAGGTATTTTATATTGTTTAGCCCTGAAAAACAACACTTTAATTAGCATTAGCATCTCTATTGTATTTCCAATGCAAATTAGATTCATGCTACCCGTTATTTGTGGTCATTTAGGCAGCACTTTAATTTAACTGGATTAGAAGCATTGTTTTTCATGTATTATTTCTAATGTTAACTTGTGTGAGTGTGATTTATTCCAGTGTTTGTAACTTGAATACAATTATGTTTTTGTGTGTTCTTTATTTTTAGAACATTCACAGTGAGTATTTGTTAAAGCCACTGTTAGCTACCTATAAAGCTAGTTTTACACATTAGTGGAAGAATAGGCTTTTTTTTTTACATAGTTTCGAAGTACGTTTTGAAAATAACAACCTTTAAGCAGTTATTAAACCTACTTTTCATTAGCCCACATTTCTGTATTATAAATGTTTTTTTAGGGGTGCACCAATTGCAAATTCTTATTTTGTCTGAGTGTTGCTAAATACAGAAGGAAAGTTGCTGAGCTGGTAACAGTGGGATGACCTTCGTCAAAGTGGATGCACCCCTAGTTTGTTTAATCGGCCTAATGTAATATTCTGATCCTAAATGTTATTTCATTAGCTTTTAAGTTGAAATCCTCAATATTAACAGAAAGGAATAAATTAATACACACAATGTTTCATTTCGTAAAGGGAGTTACTAAAATAACTCATAAAACTAGACTATAGTTTTAGCTGATGTAAGCTACTTGGTATAGCTGGTATAATATACCAACAGGAGGTACATAATTTATCCCTTCACAAAATAGCACAATGTAATTTGGCTCATTATCAGCTTTATTCCAACAGAAATGTATGCTGGTAAAGCCTCTTGTTATTATTGACCAGAAGATATTGAGCACTGCTCAATGAGCAGGGCTGGACTGGGACCACAAAACAGCCTAAACATTTTTGGTCATGGCAGCCCACCATGATTACAGTATTTATACAATTTATACAGTGGGTAAAAATCCCAGGACAGGTTAAATTCTGACTCAGTGCCTGGTTTTGTTGATGGTGCGGTTTGATTCGACAAAGCCTCTTTCCCATTCTAGCAGGGCTTACTGTTTTGTCTTCTCTGCTGTTTTTGCTTCCTTCCACTTCCTGATGTGGGACTAATCAGTACAACTGGGAGCTCCTGACCAGTCTTCTCAGAGGGGCTTGTATCAGCTGTTTGTGTCTGCCTTGACCTTCTCTTTCTCCTGTCACTGTGTTTGTTTAGTGAGCTTGAGATCATGTTGGGCTTTTGGTCTACACTATACAGTAGTCCCAAAACCAATGCTACTGCACTAACAGTGCCAATTGAAACAGCCACATTTCTCAATATGTTTTGTATCTGTTCATTCTCAAGTCAAAGTTGATTATTGTGCTCAGTTCAAAGATATGTCTCATTTGTTTTTGTCATGGCTCAGGATGTGATAGACACATTATGAAGATTTCACCAGATTTGCTATGCAGTTCCAGCATCTGACTTGTCTGGTTCATTTGCTTGGAGCAACTTAAAATGTGGCAATAGACGTATGGAGTGACATTCAGCGAGAGCTGTCAGTCAGCACCGTGAGCAGGCATGCCTACAGCTTTTATGCATCAACATTACTGCTCATCTTCTGTTGATTTTTTTGTTAAACTCTCATTGCAACAAAAATAGTTTAATGATGTTGTTTGCAAATGTAATCCATAAGAATTTAATTACTAAAGAAGATTTAGTAATAATCCATAAAACGTGTTTACTCCTTGGAGCTGTGATTACTGAAACAAAATGGAAATAAGCAATTTAAATATATATCAACAGCTATTTGTATCTCATACGACTAAAAAAAAAATACTTTAAATATTAATTATACATTCTGTTTGCAAAAAAACAGGTGATTGGGTTTGTTCTGGCAAAAATATAGGCAGTGGAAATTTTGACTAATGAGTCTTATTTTTTATCAATCATTTCAGAATGAATGTTAATCTAATATTTGCAAAAAACAAAACAAAAAAAAAAACTAAAATAACATAATGGTACAGTATAACATATTTTTAATGTTAATTTGCTGGGTTACATGCTATGTTATTTCTATGTGGAGAAAATACAACCATAGGAATTTAAGACCACTAAAGACTTGGTGCTTTAGCTGCAGCACAACTACAACAGCTAGTATTTGGACTTCTTGTTGCAGAGCACATTTAGAAAATTTTGGTATCAGCTATTTACACAAAACACATTAAACAGTTTAGCATTAATGTAAAGGGGAAAAGCCAAGACAGAGATGGGTATTTCAAGAACACATATTTTTTTTTACAACAGTCATGTAAAATTGATTTGTGACTTGTAAATGATCAGAGGCAGGTTATGGAGCAGTTCTTCTCTGCTGGTTTATGGTGGAGCTGTTTTGTAAAAGCATATTGGGTCTTGTTAGGTTGTTGAGAAAACTGTTTTCACCTATTGCAGTTCTGACTCGGGGGTCAGAGGCTTCTTTTTTCATCTTTTCAAGGTGAAACTCAGATTTTTTTTTAATATCAAACATACAATACAAACATATCACTGTTATATTTTTTTCCTTTCTTTTATTTATGCCAAAACAGGAAAGGTAACGGGCGATGTTGTTTTTAAGATGTCTTGACAGCAAGGTTGTGTTCAGAAAACTGTGGTAATAAGCAATAAATTGAGTTTCCTCCATTTGGTTTGTAAGAGGTCTGGCCTGGACAGAAGTTCCAAAAATTACTTTCTAGTTTGCTTTTCAGTTTCTTTTTATATACTTAATGAAGCCGTGAAACAACTATTGCTACTTGCTTTTTGTTGGATCTTGTTAATGACTTGTTCTCTGAAGTGTGGACACAATTGCAGAGGTGAAAACACTTTGCCAGGCTGCAGACACTGTTGAGAGATTGTCTCATTAAAATGTAAAGTAATATGCCTTCTCATTCAAAAATCAAAACAGGCACTGTCAGGCAGTGGGATATGATATTTCTGGATTAGAAACAATTTGAGCTGATTGTTTGACAAGAATTCAAGACTGCAAGTTTAGCAAAATCTAAACCATTGTTTAATACTTTGAGGTTAAACGGGAATGAGAAAAAGCTGTAAACTGCTGACATTAAGTTGTTGGATTGTTCCCTAGTTGGGCATTTTTGTGGCCGACTATGGACAGGTCCTCCAGGCATAATCATGAAGACGACCTGAGAGGCCAACATGCAAGTTTGAGAGAAGTTGAGTTCTGTGCTAAGCCATATTATTCCAAGCCTTGTTATTTTGGACAGTCCAGCCAGAGGGGTCATCACAGAATGACTTGTTGATGATGTAATAGGTGGAAAGCTGTACATGTGCCACACTATCATTTCGTTCCCTGGCTTGCCAAGCCGAGAGACAAATTTGAGCTAGAGAAAATCCCCATCTAATAGCTGTTTACGAGTGGCTGAGTCACCTTAGTGAAATCTTACTTCTGGCCAATAGCAGCATCACTCCAACTGCTTAATTCAGTAATACTTGCAACAAAGTTTTACAAAGATCCAATTCCTCTCAAAAATCTAGAGCAGAAGCCAGAATCAACATTATGACTCCTCTTTTTATTTAAAGGCCTCCTATTTGCTCCCATCAGGCGCCAGCGATTTGCACTGAGCAGGGTGGCCATGTGAGCCGGCCACCCCCGTGGTTACACAGATATGCAGACAAATGAAACGGAGATCAAGACACACAAGGCACTGGTGTGCTCTCAAAGCATAACGGCATCATTTGACCCAGAGACATTTGGTCATACTTTGTCTATTTGTGATGCAAAAAAAACAGAAAACAAGTTGGAATGCTTTGTTTTTCTCAATGATCTCAGTGAAATCTGGCATTTGTTATGTGACTTGCTCAGACTACTTTCTCATTTTTCATCAGGCGTAACTGCTGCATATAAAAAAAACACTCCTAATCCAGTTACAATCAGGGTTCATAAAAGAATTTCTTGACATTCATAACTTGCGTAAAGTACAGTTACATTACATTGGATCCTTGCAGACCCTTCACTGTCGTCACAGCCACACCTATTCCCAACTTCATTTCCCTGCAAGCCCATAAATTCCACTAACTGCCACCACTTGCTCACTATAAGCACAAGAAGTCACAGCTGCTGTCTCCCTTACTCTCAATAAATACCTTCTAATACAACGTCATTAACTCTGATTGGGGTTTTGTTTTTATTATACACTCTCACTAATGCAGAGAATTCTTTATTGCAATGTCTGCAGTGATTTTCTCAGCCACGCTGGCAAGGGCTCCGTCTCCTTCTTTACTCGATCAGCGCAGCCTCTGGATCACATCAGAAACACCTTTCAACTGTACATCTGAGTTCCAAGGTCCATTAACCTGATGCAGAATTGAAGGTAGTTAAATGTAACTCGCCTACTGAATGATTTGCAAAGTCGTCTTACAGGACAAGCTGAGTGGTACAATTTGAGACAGAGCGAGAAAATGTGGAGAGGAGAAATGAACCTTCTCTTATGGGTTGTTCTTTATCTAACCAAGGCAATTACATTTACAGCTGAACATTTCCACCTTTCCTATTACTTGTGAACAAGCAGCAGTTCTCCTGCAAGCTTTTTTCTCAGTTGATGGAGTACAATTGCTGTATTGTCAGTGGCAAAATTTGCAGAGAAGTATTCATATCTCTTAAATTGTTTGACACATTGTCACATTAAAACTGGATAGTTTATTCTGTTTTTTTTTTTCCTGACTGTTCAATGTATCAACATTTTTAAATATTATAACGTTTATGTCACAACAACATTTTGAAGACACTCAGATGTGGAGAAGTTTAAAGCAGCGGGTAGCTTATACAACACTATGTCAAGCTTTCAACATCTTTCTCCTCAGTCCATATTCTAAAAATTGAAACAAAACTCATTAACATTTTGTGTTTTAGACACAACTCAAATTGTAAGGAACCTCCCCAGTATCCCATTATGTGATTCATGAAACTTAGTGAAGTGTAAAAAATTTGCCAAAAGTCAGACAAAGTCAAAGAAGATTTTGTCAATATTAATTTCCGATGTTATTCTCGTTTCATATTATCGGATACCACATCTAGTCGGGAAGATCAGGACAAAAAAGGCTCAGGTGATTTAGAGGCTTTCCTCTTCATACATCGTTGACCAGGAAGGGTGACTTTAAAATGGAGGAACATTTGAGACTGACTGAGGCTCATTATAACTTCTAATGACTTTACACTGGAAACAATTGCCCTTGGTCTCTCTGGTGATTATTCTAGCACAGGTTTTTAATTGATAGGATATAAGAGATGAGGTGTTTTAATAAAAGAGGGAAAATGGAAAAGGAACATACTGTTCCATTTCCACATGTTTTCTAAACTTCTTCTAGTCACAAGAACAAATCTGGACAAATCACAGTTTGTGAGGTGGTTGATCTGATTTGTCTCAAGCAAACCAATAGTCTGAGAATGAAGAAGATACAAGAAAATGGGGAGACCGAGAGGTCTTTCCAAAGGGGAAAATTGGAATAAGAAAGGAGGGAATTTCTACCAGAGTCTTGGGAGTAAAAGTTGGGATATGCAGCAGGAGAACGAGAGGGACAGGGGAGAGATTTAAAGGGAAAGGGGGAAATTGAGAGCCCGCATAGCACTTTCCTCTGTGAGCTGACAGGGCTTGACGCTCAACTAACAGGGCTGTTTTGACAGGTGTCAGATGGTCCATATTACTATTTCACCGCCGGGCCCTTGGGACCCTCCCCACCCGGGCCACGTGTACAAAGACGCATAAAAAAAAAAAAAAAAAAAAAAAAAAGTGAAATGGCAGGAAAAGGAAAAAAAAAAAAAATCCCTCACTTGACTTCCTTTCTGTGCAGCTCAGTGACTCTACGTTCTTCCAAAGGATGGACATCTCCTTCGACTTTTCTGTGTGGGCATAATGGAAAAGGTGTGTGTGAATATAAAATAGACTTTCTTTCCAGCAGTCTGCATAAGTGAAATTGAGAAGAGGTTGTCAGAAAAGAAAATGTGGAATTGTTAATTTTGTGCATCTGCAATAATTAGTTTGCAACCACACACAGGTGGAACAAATCCCATCATCTCTGAAAGAGGTTAAGCTGTAATGCTAGAGGCTTTCCTTAATGTGGTTACAAAGATCTCAACAGGTAATAAAAATATTGATCCGATGCTTTTCATCCTGGAATCTATTATCTGTACATAAAATGCGTGCACAGGCAGTGTGATAAGTAAGTAAAGGATTGTATAATTTGATTACGGCTTTTGACTTTACACGCTCTGTGATGTTAAATCAAAAGTCAACATGAAAGACTGCAGTCACAGATAATTTGGTTATCAATATTGTGATGCTAGGCAGTGCTTCTATTGCTAGAAGCACTATCTGTAAGTGACAAAGGGATTCTTGGGTGCATAATATATTATACGTGGTATGCTGCCTGTACCACGACAAAAAAAAAGATAACTATGTATATTTCAGATATTCAAGTTCTAAAGCATCCCAAACCTTTTGGACATTCTGAAAACTCCCAAATGCTCACAGCCATGATTTACAACAAGTTTGTAATTGTCTCTTGTTAGAGGGAACACTGCGGCTGCGGCTCTGAGCAGAACTGTTGCAAGTACTTGGAGCATGTTTCATAGTTACAGCATGAAACGAGAGAGTCCCCGCTTGCCTGATGCACTGGGACTCTGAGGGTGGATCTGATTCTGCTTACTGCTGCTGAACAAAGGCCTGGCATGACCAAAGGAATGATATGGTCTGGGATGTTGTTTTGAAAACAAATGCAACGAAAGACGGTCGACATTAGAACCATATGAGCTTGTAAAAAATATGGATACTTATTTTTCTGGCTCATTCATTGAACTGTAAAAGCAAAATTTTACTCAGACTTTTACACTTATTTATGTAGGCAGAAATTACTAGCAAAATGAACTGTGCTAACCTATTAAACCCTTTAAAACAAATGTTGGAACAAAATATTGGCATTTTAATATTTTGAATTAAGCTTTTAAGTATATACTACATAGCACTGATTGAGCGACCATTAATCTGGTTCTGGACTGGTTATCCGTAGATATTTGATCCTAAATGAGTCAAATTGGAGTCGGGGACAAAATATGATGGTCACAGCTTGAATTAAAGGGGAAAAAAAAAAAAAAACATTTGCATTTGTTTTTTTTTTCCTCATGGATTTTGTACATGAGAATTTACTGGATCTGCATACAGGAAAGCTACTAAAATATTTTGACAGTGTGCTATCTTAACATGCTTAGCTTTTCTATAGTCTTTAATAAGACTCTTTTTTTGCTGTAAAGTAGCTTGTGGAACTGCTGTACTAAAGTTGGCATATTTAATCCATGTTTTGATATCACTCATAAATAATTTGTGCGACTTTAGCTTTGAGTTTTCCTAATTCTTTCCGTATTTCATATGTATTCATATTCTGCTCACTTGTTCCCTGTGTGTTCTTCAGCAATGTATCCCATTAATTTAGCTTAAAAGGGGGTATTATACAAAATAATACTTTTCTGAGCTTTATATCATGTTATGATGTAATTTGGAGGGGGCCTAAGTGACTCGTCATATGATGTGCTGTCTATTTACCTGAAGCTCTACCTGGAAGCTTCAGTCCCCAGCTGATCCCCCACCTGATGGAGCATCCCTCCCTCATGCCTTCCCCATCAAACTAGGAGCAGCAGCAATTAGCAAACACCTGATGTGTGTGTCTGCTGAGCATATCAAAAAGCCCTTCTCCATGGGCATGGCTTTAATCCGTTCTGGCGAATATTTTACGCAAGCAAAATGATTGAGTGTCTGAAAGGGTAGGAGGTTTCTAAAGAAATAAATGCCAACTTCAAGGCAAGTCAAATTTATTTAAGATGTAAATACATTTATGTGACAGGATTCTCATTACATCTGAAGATAACATAGTGTTTTGATGGACCTGGAAAATCCATAATTCCGTCCTTTAACTTCTCGTATTTGCCTTCCCTCACAGCTCCACTTTGTTTCTGATCAACCACCTGCTCCTTGTTCATTTGTCAACTCTCCAGCTTTAATAACTCAGTTAAACAGGTAAGATCATCTTGTTATTCCCACAAGCTTGTTTCATTGTGTTTCTCTTGTGAGTTGTTATTTTGGATTTTGCGATCTTAGTTTTTGAATTTCCTATTTAAATAAAATATTTATTTTTTTTTGGTGGGGGGGGAGATGGGTAATTATTAGTTTTGACCAGATTCAACTTATTTTAACACTGGGTTGCAAAATAAAGGGGGGGAAAAAGAAAGAAAAACAAGCTTAATTGCTTTCCTTTCAATACTTCTTAAACTGTCTGAAATAAATTATTCTAACAGGGCTCACGCTAGTGACAACCAGATTGTCGCTATTGAGCTAGTTTCAATATATATAGTCTCAACTCAAAGTGTCAAAAATAGTTTTCACCGGTATTTACTTAAATTCTCACACTTTGCCACCAAGAATTTCTTTAGGATTATTACTGTCGAAACTGTCAGCAAAAATAAAAAATAAAAATAAATAAATAAATAAATAAATCAACAAAAGCAATGCATGCTATGTGTTTAAAATAACATTAGGTAGAGATGAAGAAATCGGGAAACTACATAAAGCACTTTAAGAGATTGCATTCTCTATTAAATTACTTCAACCTCTATGATCTCATATTAACTCTCGTAATATACTTTTATTTTAGTTTGTCCTTTTGTCTTCCTCCCTCTCTCATCCAGGCTTCCTCTAATCACTCAAACAACAAGATTAAAAGGGGAGAGTTTAACCCGCTTGCCAATCAACAAAATGGACAGTTAAAGTAAAGGTGTTCCCTGACTCTATAGACCTTTGCCCTTGTTTTTCTCTGTCTCATCATACCTGTAACCTCACCTTACCTTTTGTCTCATTTGTCTGAAAACAGAGAACTTTTAATATCTGCCGAATCAATGCAAGTTAAAGAGAAGACCGATAAAGTGCCCCTGAACTTTGCTTCATTATTCGTCATTCCAAAGCGAGCTCTGTTTTTAAAAGCGTCTGATTCAGTTCCCCATGAGTATGTTAAAACAGGAGGCCATTTTCAGGATTTTATGGGGTGTCCTGTTTTTCCAACATACCTCCTGTGATTTAGGCAATATGCTTGAAATAAGAAGTTCTGAAGGGTAAGAGGCAACTCGGGTTTTACTGCACCTACTCTAAAAACTAAAATAAAAATAATGTGAAATAGACAAATGACAGGCCAGAGCATGTACTCTCAGGGGTGGGATTTGTTGTAATGGCACTAAAGAGACCGCTGTCCCCAGCCCTGTTATCCAGCGTCTCGTGCTTCGCCTTGAGATCACACTTTTGCAGAAGTTGGCATTTAGGCAACGGTTTCGTACAGTGAATGTCACCTCTAGCAAAATGTGGAAAACAAATACGACTTCAGAGCTTGCGAGGGACGAGAAGAGGGTGAGAATTTACGGCAGGCTGGGTGAGGTGAGCTGGTTCTCCGAGCACTTTGGCAGCCTTGAAGCATGTCGGCCTTCCAAGTTAAACACCGGTTCAGTTTCCTGAGCACGGCTATGTTCCAATCACATCAGCTAAATGTGTACACAAAGAGAGTATTTACATCTGTCCCCCCAAAAAAGTTTTTTTTTTTTTTTTTTTTTTTTTTTCTTGGCAAACAATTTTTGCTTAATTCACCCTGTCTGATCAAGGTTTAGGAAATTTTAAGATTTTACAAAATCTGAACGGAGCCATTTGTCATATTCATGTGCGGATTATTAATGTTCTTTTTTGTAGAATTACATCCACATAAAATGAATAGTCCCAACTAACATCCACTTCTGGAAAGTAAAGAAGAGAAAAGGGCCATAAAACCTTATAATCACAAGCTGAGAGGCTCTTCTTTTATTCATGCTTTTAAGCTCTTTATGTGTCTGTGGGATCTGCTTAAAATTCATAGCTCAACGTTGAAAAACCCTAACATGAACCCACTGTCCAAATATTTAACTTCAACCAGTGATACTGTATTTCAATTAATCTCTGCTTGTTTATTGGCTTTTATACTGAAGTTCCCATTTAATCAGCATTTTATTTGTTTTTTCTGTCAACGTACCTCGGTGTTTTCATCGATTTACATTCTCCTCGTGTCTCGAGTTGATAAAATGAAACAAATCCAAATTGCTAATCAGCTTGACATCATTGCTTTCTGTTCTCGTATATCTTACTATAGAACATCTGCCTTTGTTCGGCAAACATTTTAAGCTCTTTATACGCATTACGTTGTTTTCTTTTACAAATTAGACCTCTGGCACAGGGTGATTTGTTGCAGGAGCTCACACCTGCGTCTGGAGGAATTAAATAGGTTTTCTGGCACTCTTCCAGTCCTTTTATGGAACTCCTATAATTCCAAGTATATCGTTTACTGTGTTTAATGATGCTCTGTATTTTTTATTTTTTTTTTTACTGAATCCCTGTTTTACCATTGCAGACTAATGAGAGGGGATCAAGACTAAAGCTGAAGCAATTGGAGATGGTGATAAAAGTAGTTTCTGGCTGCGTTACATAAGCAGAAAAATGTTCAGTAAAAAAATAAAATTAAAGCGTAAGTGAATGTGTGCAATGAGGCTGGACAGCAATAAGAATCAACAACCCTTCAACATAACTGGGGCCTGTCAACATAAACTGCTGATAAAAAAATCAGACTTGACTAGCAGGTCCCAGGGTGAACTAAATGAAACATGTAACGTTTATTGACTCCATAAGTTTAACAAACCTAGTAAAATACCTCAAAATAAGGTAGCAATTGGTGTTTTTGAACAAAATATTTTGTTCCCATGATACAAGGAATGCAACCTTGTCCTGCACTTTCTGAATGAAGTTATCAGTAATAATTTTATTAACTGCAAACGCCATTTGCCCTCTACAGGTCTGAATGTCCTTGTTTCAAGGTTTTCTATGTAGGTAGAATCGGAGTAGATTAGCAGAAGACGAGCTTTTAATTCATGCAGATAACTTAAACTATATGTAAACACATCTGTGGTTCATCGAATGCAGTGGGATTGATCACATTCATATGCCCATAGAAAAGTAGACATGCAAAGAACAATAAACCAAATGCGAACCTTTAGTTTATTGTTGAGAATTGAGAATGCTAAAAAAAAAATAAATTTGCTTTCTTGGAAATCTGTGCCATTCTGTGTTGAAGTAAGTGTCAAAAGTGTAAAAGAGCTCTTTTTTTTCCACTTCTGAGTGAAGACACTTGGGTCCTCTTTTTGGTGACATATAACAAGAAATTATGACAACATTCTTATCGGTTCGGTATAATGACGAATAGCACAGATAACATGTTTGGTGGCGTGGGTGTTTTTTATTTATTTTATTTAGTTTGTTTTGTTTTTTTAATCAAGCGCTCCCATTCCTAAGTGATACTTGCAAAGAGTTCAAGAGCCTTTGGTATTATTGGAGAATACAGAATTATAAACATAAAAGGTCAGAATGACTCAGAAAATGGGAAATTCCAACACCATGTGAATGCAGCCCAGCTTGCCAGTAAACAGAGAACATAACAGCTGAGTTTGGAATTTGTGAAATTTTGTTTCAATTGATCAATTCTGGAGATCTTTTTTTTACATCTATAACTTTATTTACATAGATGTTTTCTGTTAATATACTTTTTGCTTTTCATTTCAAAACTTATTTTAAAACAGTTTTTGGTCTTTAGAGTTTTGATATAACAGCCTTACATTTTTGCTCACAAGCCTTCTAAAGATTTTTAATTAATTCTCAAATTTCAACTCTATTCTTGAAATTCACTCTTGAATATATTCTATAAATTAAAAGAAAAAAAAATCCACCATTCTGTTTTCCCCCAACATGACTATTATTTGGTACAAATTACAAAAAAAAAAAAAAAAATGTAATCCAATGTTTAACCTCAAAACAGACAATGATCATGCAGTAATTATTGCACTGTATTGAGTCAGACCTTTTGAGAGTATGTCATAAATTAACTATCTGTTTCATATTTTCCCTACATAGCATCAGATTTAGATTAGCTTTAAATCTGCTAAATTTATGAAAAAAATAAAGTTTTGTCAGTTTCAACACACACTCATAAAAATCAGTTATGTTTGATGCCAGGTGACAGCCTTTCCACCGAGTTGTTGACATATTACAGCAAAGCTGCACCCATTTTCTGACTACTGTTGAAACAAAATCACACCAGTGGTTCTACAAACTTTAAACATTTTTCTTCCACAATTAGGAGGCAGATTTAGACCTGTTTTTGGAAAGCTTTCACTTTGTGTACAGAAACTCTGAGTCTGAAGCCACACTGGTAGAGTGCAGCTCAAAGTCCATGCAAAGACGTATCACAAGAATATTTACTCTTAACAGCAGGGGGGTTTGTGATCATGTGAAATAAATCCAAAAGTACACGCGATCGGTAATGAGGACTGGCTTGTTGTTTACTCTGACTTCATTGGGTGCTGTCATCATGTGGTTTCAAAATGCAGGCTAGTCCAGTTGCTTGACTACAAATGCTTGTGAAACACACACAGACACACACACACACATAAAACACAGTTAAAATAAAATGTACGGACGCATTTTTCCAGCTTGCTACACCCACATTATCTCGGAGAACAGCATAAAACGGGCCAGACATGAAAAATGAGCTGCTTTCTACAAAGAATTAACTGACGGCCTTTGGCTGCATAAGCTTTGTTTTAATTTCCTGAACTTGTAATGGTCCCTGCATGGAATTTAATATCCATATGGACAGAGTTTTTTCCCACATAAAATAGATGCAAACAAATGACCCCAGACACTTCCATAAATAATGTTAGTTTCACCACACAACTCCTTGGAGTTGTCTTTAGAGTCAGTTCCATTTTAATAACTGACTTTATTCATAAAACAGGATTTCCAGAAAAAACACAAGCCTTCTCTTGTCATGTTGCCTGTAATTTTTTTTCATGTTGATTGAGTTACCATATTGTGTCCATAAGATTATAGAGACACACACACACAAAAAAAAAAAAAAAAAAAAAAAAAAAATTAAAAACAAAAAATAGGTGTTCTTG